TAAATAATTTTTATAATGTACGTTTACTTATATTGGTATAGCCTGCACCCATACAAGTTAATACAATTTGATCTAGTACTTCATCTTCTTCTCTTAGTGGCTCGATTTTAAAAACGATTCCAAAGAAATCCCGTAAGTCGCGTAAAAATTGTATCCTGTCGAAGTAATATCATATATTAGTCACATTACGTTCTTCGTTTCTGAAGCATTCACGATTTATGCAAATATCTATTTTCATAACTGAAATTAAATAAACTAAATTTGTTTCCGCCTTTAAACATTATCTGCGTTTCTTTAAATTATTTAAAATTCCTATATATGCATAAACATCTGCAGTTCATTTATTACTTACATCGATGGTGTTAAAGGTCCTGTTACAATTTTCGAAACATCTTTCCTACCTAATGCCATGTACATCGCAGTCAAAGATTGAAAAGGAGAGTCCACGCAACCATTCCTGAAATTAAACAAATATATCATTAGTCTGTCTACGTTCTAATTGCCGTCATGTTTGTCTTACCTATAAATTTCGTCGATTAGTTTCATGGCTGCTTCTCTGCCAATATCCTCTGGCACACAGGGCAGAGAATTCGTCGTCATGAGAGGCGAGAATGCTTCACCACCGAAAACAACTTCGGTAGTCGTTTCAGCTGACAAAGTTACTCCAAACCCTGTTATATCCACTCTTATTCAAACTGTTCCATATTTTTAAATAATGAAATAATAGATATTTACCTGGCGACTTTCCACTGGCTGCACCCTTACAATGATCTGTATGAATATACACGTCTGGCAAAAACTTCAGTAATACGCCCTTAGCAGATTCTACAATTCTGTTAGCAATCGCAGGAGACACGCGTATGCTACACGCAGTGCCTCTTATTCTTTTCACCATGCCACTGTTCTGAAACTGCAAAATTTCCCTTATGATATTTATAGATATTTTAAAGAAATAAGGACTTGTGTGTACTTACTTGAATACTTTTAAGATTACGGCTAATAGGACACTTAAACCGAACTTCTCCACCACCCAAAGGTGCAGCTCCTCTTTTATTAATCGTAAATGTAATTTCAGTGTCTATTACGAATCTTTTTAATATCGGTATAGCACATGTCTTGATTCTGTCCACAGATGGATCTTCAAAATGATATCGTTATTCAGTTAGTTTTTCAGATTGTAGTAATTTAGAATGCATAGTGAAACGTTATTTACCTAGAGTGTTATTAGTGATTCCTCTGAGTTTAACATCAACCGGCTTTTTGCAGAACGGTGCTAACATTAAAATTGCTTCTAAATAATAACCGATGCCTCGTTGCACGCTGCAATCATGTTCCAATTCACCACCGTGCAGTAAGCCTGGACTATAAAATAGATCAGTGCCGGTTTCATTCAATTCTATCTTGGAACCGTTTGTAATTTTATCCAATAAGCGGATGAAACTGACTTCGTATTCTGAAAAACAAAAATTGTTATAATAGTTCGACGTTTGAAAGGGATTAAACTAACCTCTCAGCCCGGGGTCATCATCTTTAACTCTGATATTCGTGATTCGCACGGATTTTCCGGATAATGTTGACAGTAGCAAACGGTATCGCAAATAATTACAGCCTTCGTAAGTTAAGACGTTATTTTTCATTGAGGCTGGCATGTTTCGTTAAAATTGGCGACGACCAAAACAATACGAGCACGTGGAACTCGTTGACGTCACTGTAGAGTAACTGGTTGAATGGGTTGAATGCATACTGTCGCACTGTTACCTGTGATACTGTCAAAACAAGTTGAAAATTAAACGTGTTTTATTTCAATAATAATGATAAAGAAGAAAATATTTGTCACCGTCGGCACCACCAAATTTGATGAATTAATCGAGAAGCTACTTAGTCGAGAGGTTCTAGAGGTAAACGAATGTTCACAGAACAATCTTTCAATTTCTTTTATTTTAATCTTTTAAACATTTTAGGCCTTGTCGATGAAAGGATACAATGAACTCGTTTTGCAAATCGGTAAAACGTCGCTTATACCAGATTGCAGTCCACGTTACGGTTTTATCAGTATAGAATATTTCAATTTAAGTCCAGATATCATTAAATACATGCAGAGTGCTGACCTTATCATAAGTCACGCAGGAGCAGGAAGTATACTAGATGCTTTGGACAATAGGAAGAATTTGATTGTAGTTGCGAATGAAAATTTGATGGATAATCATCAAATGGAATTAGGCGAGCAACTGTTTAAAGAAAGATATTTGTATTATTGTACGTGCGACACTCTGCTAAGAATCATTGAAAATATAAATTTCTCTGAGCTAAGGACGTTCGTCGATCTGAAAAGTAGAGCTATTGCCCAGTATATAGACGAAATAATGGGGTTTTAAAGCATATATCTCTTATTTTTTAATTTGGGAAATAAATTAACATCATTTGATACATTTTAATTATTTAATACGTCTAACGTTAACTATTAAAAATATAAATTCCTCCAAGCTAAGGAAATTTGTCAATCGGAGAAGTAGAGTTGTTGTCAAGTACATGGACGATTAGGGTTCTAAGGTGCATATGCTTTATTTTTCAACTTGTGCAATAAATAATAAAAGTAAAACATGAATTAATATCATTTGATATATTTTAACTTTTTAACACGTCTTACAATAGGAGTATATAACAGCATTAATTATTTATCGTAACAGATATAGCTTTCATATAATTTACAACAATATAATAAGAATTGCTTAAATAACTGTTCCTTAAAATTATGGCATAGTAGCATAGAAAAATTGATGATGTCCAGTTTTGAGAAGAAATGATGACGAAGAATAACGGCGGCAGTTATTAGATATTTTCGTTTTTACTGTATCTTTGGATGGCTATTGAATTGTCAAAACAAAAGCTATATCGATAAAAAATAGTTTCTCAATACTGTACAGTGTTAAAATAAATTTAGTCCACCAACGAGTGTCCGTGTTTGTTTATGATTTTCGTTAGGAAGAAAGCAGACGGGCAATTTCGCACGACGATCAACGTAGCCATTGCATTATAGTCGTAAACGTAAATGGATTCGAACGCACTGTCGATGCGTTATATCGTTTCGTTTCTTAGACGACCTCAGCATAGTTTATACTTTCAATTTATTGTACGAAGATACATCCACATGAGGCAAACTACATATTTATATTAATAGTGGCATGTGTTTCTTTTTCGAATCATTAATTACAGACCAAACCGAGACGGGTCATTTCTTTTAAAAGTTCGTTTCCCATTTGCGCAGGACTCCTTGTTACAATTACACCAGCCTAAAAAAAATTTAAGAATATTTTATATCGCGTGACTATACGAACGTTTATACGATTTGATAGAAAATCGACAGGTACCTTTTCGAGTGCATTAATTTTATCTTGCGCGCCTCCTTTTCCTCCTGATATGATCGCACCAGCGTGTCCCATTCTTCGTCCAGGCGGGGCAGTGATACCAGCGATGAACGACACTACTGGCTTAGCTTTGTTACCCTACAATCATAGACGTATATAATACCTAAATGTTAACGCTCGAATAAATTGTACTTATAAGGATATACAATATCTTTCGGAATACAAGGAACATCAGGATCCCTGGAAAGAAATTGATTGTGGAATTAGGATGAACTGGGATCTGGGTACCAATAATTTTGAATGGCAACCAACAGTGTTATGTTCAATTAGATATTCCGCCGCCCGTTCTTCTGCGCTGCCACCGATTTCGCCGATCATTAAAATACCGTCGCAATCCGGATCCCTTAGGAATACATCTAGACAATCGATGAAATCTGTTCCGTTGAATGGATCGCCTCCGATTCCAACGCAAAGCGTCTGTCCAAGACCAGTCTTGAAACCAAATTATTTTATGAACGTATCAACATGTGAAAGAGAGTAACAATTATTTATTTAGAGCTGTTCTCACTTACAAGGGTCGTTTGATTCACAGCCTCGTACGTTAACGTTCCCGATCGTGACACAATACCAATTTTTCCTCTTTGATGTATATGTCCTGGCATGATACCTATTTTACACTGAGATAATGATATGTTATAAAACAACAGAGTGATATAGAATAAGATATATATACATAAATGATATAATATCAAACTATTCTTACTTGTTCCGGAGCTATTACTCCTGGACAATTTGGTCCAATGAGACGAGATTTACTTTGCTCTAAGAGTCGCCTTTTAACTTTGACCATATCGTGCTGTGGAATACCTTCGGTAATGCACACGATCAAAGGCATTTCAGCATCAATTGCCTCCATGATCGCTGCGGCTGCACCTGGTGGAGGGACATAAATAACGCTCGCACTAGCCCCAGTCGCTTCTTTTGCCTAAAGTGACGAAACACGTATATTATCGCTTTCGTTTTTTATGCAAATTATATAAGAAATTATTTGCCAACCTCTTTCACGGACTTGAAGACTGGTTTCCCAAGATGTTCGGTACCAGCCTTCTTCGGGTTAGTGCCACCGACTATTTTGGTACCATACTCGATGGCTTGTTGGCAATGAAATGTTCCTTGCTTACCAGTGAACCCCTGACATATCACTTTGGTATTCGAATCAATTTTTAAATTGTTCCTAGTATCTACATAGTTAAATCTTATTTGAGTACGGAGTAAATTTCCACAATTTCTAACTGGAACACAAAATACACTTTTCATTGTAGTGATACATGCGTACGTGCTCTTTTGTTAAAGATATATTGATAATAAAAATAGATAATGTATGTTTAACAACTATTAACAATGAGAATAACGAGATATTTATTGTTTTGAGGCACAGAGGAGTTTCATATGACTATTGTTGTGAACCAATTATTATTTATAGAGGCAATATCAAATTTCTCAACTTTTAGGTCAAGGTTCAACGACTGAATATCATGCAATGAGTTCAAGTGATTAATATGACATTAACTATGACATAGTATAATGTTGACACGTTCAAACGAATATGCAAGCTGCTGCATTTAATTCAAATACTAAATAAACATTATAGTAAATGTAACATTGAAGACAATGTAATTAATGTCATGTATAATTAAAAACGACATCGTGAATTTTACGTTACGAGTATATACGTGCATACGTCTATATGTATGAAAGTAGAAAAAATTTGATATAGAATTACATAATGGTTTGCTTATAGTCAAGATAGAACAATTTACTGTAAAAGATGTAATGAATTGAAAACATTTTCCTTCACTGCAGTAAACTTTTATTAAAGTTAGAAATTACAAGTCTTCGTATTATCGCAGTATGACACAGGGAAGAGATCTCGGAAGTGTATTTGACTTTGAAAACAGCGCGGCTCGAGTCAGGCAAGAAATTCGGGCGTGTAATTTTATGATATCATTGAAACATTTTCTTAGCCACCTACTCATACACTGAACAGTCTGTTTCGACGTTGGAGAATAGGTGGCAAATTATCTTTATCTCTTACCTGTAAATTTTGAGAACGTTCTGACAGCCACAGCCATTTTTTAATTGATGTTTCACACAGAATCGTCGATAAACGAAATTGAATTATTAGAGTATCACCATTAAGAGGACCAACTTCGACGGACTAGCGAGGTCAAGTTCGAAAGAAAATACACGGGCAAAGTGCAGTTATCGCATGTATTCCAGGTTCGTTCTGAGCTTGTCAAATGACAGAAGCGTGGAATATCGAAACGATTGGTCGGCTACTTCTTGAACTGCATCATTCGATCCAGTTTTCAATGCAGAAATTCTCTCCATCGAACCAACTTCAGATGGCTGAATTATCAGTATCTCGATGGTCCAAGTTCAGGCGATTAAAATATTATTTTGCTCCGTAATTCAATGTTCCAAAGTCTAAACGATTAAAGTGTATGTACGTAAATACTATTGATGCCATTGAAGTAAATAAATCGACTAAGTTTTCTTTACATCTTTGCGCATTATATGCGCATACGTGAAGTTTCTCTGATAAATAATTTTCGTCTTAAAAACTACTCCCAGTGGGCACGTAGGTTATTGTTTGTTAAATTATGACACGACGGCTTGAAAATTGCAGAGCGCGTGAATCATTCGTGAAATTCCGTGCCGTTCGTAGTCATAAATTTGAGGTTCAGGTAAAGTGATATGTCGACTGTCTCGGGTGAGCCCGAGGGTCATAATCCCATTGTTATCCAGGGCTATTTTCCCGACTAAACGAGTGCCCAAAGCCAAGAGTACCGCTAGATCGTCTGTTGTTCAGATAAAAATTTATTAGTGCCTTTCCACGCTTGTGTATGCAGCGGAAAATGTATAATCTTATATATCTTTGCGTGCCTTTGTTAGTGCATAAAATCCGCTAAGTAGCCGGGGATTATATTTCCACTACCTTTTGGATTTTTGGGGCATTTATTACTATCGGGATTTGTACCGTTTCAAAAATCTATTGAGTGCTGTTACCATATAAACCAGGATCCGGAAATACGACTTTTGGAGCTAAAGAAAAGTGACAAAAGATGAGTTGATGGCCCGATTATCAATCGCGAGACTTTCCTAAGCAAATGTTTTGAACACTGAATTATTTATCCGACGAACGTCGTTGATTTTATTAGTAGTATACATAAATACTGAAACATCAGAATGACGATACTTTTTCCTCTTAACTTTGGATAATAAACTATTGAGTCATGCGAATTATAAAGATTTCTCTGAAATGTCTATGGAACAGTACAAGCATTCGCGTGAAATTTACTGGTCGAGCCAGCAAGCTTGACATTGGGTACGAACTAAGAATTCCTTAGTTATTAAAGGATCCTTGGCATGGACAAAAGTTGGGTCCGCAACCGGTCATAAAATCTTCCGTACTTCACGTGCAGTTGTGCTGATGTACCTGTGAAATGCGCATCCGTTCGCGACCAATGTTCCACGGGTCTAGCCGGTCAGGATAGCCAGTCAGTATAGCCGGCATTATTAGGAATAGATCAGCGCGGAATTCGCGGAGGGCTCAACCAGAGATGAGGAAGGAGATTCCGTTTTACCCGAGCCGATTTTTAACTTTCATAAAATACCGCTTCTAACGCAAAATGTGAATCTTTAAGGCATCCAGCTTTTACGTTCCTATTTTTCTCTATACCCGCAATTCTCATTTCGGCGATGTTTTTAAGAATTTGAAAAACAAAATTCAACGTCATATTCAGAAATGCGTGGTATTAAGAAAACCATGTAAAAGCTGGGTATGTCCATCTGCGGAACGATTGGCCAGAAGTGCGGATTAGGTCCCCTGCTAGTTGGGACCAAGTGTATAAAGGCTCGACTACCTGGATGATTTATTGGGTATATCCATCAAAATTGAGCACGTGCGCAAAAATTGAGCGGCGGCGTAGCCTTAAGTAACTACCTGTTTACAGCTCTTAATATTTCGCTTCTAACGGAACTGAACGTCGAAATTCGTCACGTAGCGATACGTGCAAAGTACAAAATATGAAAGAATTTGTTTTAAATTGATACGAACAAGAGATGAAATTAGAATTAATCACACGAGTGTTGCTGTATTATAACTTTCCAATAATCACATGTGGAAACTACGTTTGTAAAATGGATTTTGCTCTACTTTACATGTAATGCATCTCTTCGGCATTCTGAATGTTTAACGCTACTTTTATAAGGAACGTATATTCAAACAAGGATCAACAAGCGGCTCATTCGCGGCTGGAGAAAGACTGTATTATAGTATTTGGTGTTTCCTGACGGTTTTTCGGCTCGCTTTCTATTTCTATATGACTAAGATTATTGCAGACCCTCTGATTCATACCGTACCCCGTTATGTGTATCAATGTTTTACTTATATTTCGACGATATCTAGCATTTCCAATTCGCCGCCTTTCAAATTTCAACCCCCTGAAAACGTCGGCGCGTACGAACATCGTAGATGGGAATTCAACTTAAGGCATAAGATCTCTCGATAATTTTTAAGTGCTAAAAATCATGTATAAATCTCTGCTCGTTTTTTGCTTGGATACACATGACGTCATCGGGAATTGAGAAACGCTGTAGGAAAATCAGGGTCGTTTTCGTTTGCTTTAGAGTAGGTATCCAGGTAGTCACATGGACGTAGGAACCCAGGATGGAAATAAGAGGGGATTGTTATGGTGGAGGCGCAGCGTATCGTTCGCAGGGTGAAGACAAAGAAGCCGTTGGAGGAACGAAGAAGGGGTAGCCGTTGTCATGGGGATGGTTGTCCGTGGTATAGTGCGTGCCTGTACCGCTGGTATAAAATAGCCCCACCAACTCGAGCGCCTTGACAGGCGTTCTTACCCTTGATTCGGTTACTTCAGTTTAGTCTGTCGGACCCCTCAGTTTTTCTGCTGTGATGAATCGTCGTTCGCTTTGAGTTTTTCATTTTAAACAGTTTTTGTTCGAAGTGCTTTTCTAGTATCAAAGATATCGTTTTGTGAATTACAACGTTACGTGAATTACACTGTGGAATTCAAATGGATCCTTATTCAAATTTCCCGTCGGATTCGGGAACAAGGTACAGTTTACTTCCTCTCGTCTCGTGTACTCAGTCTCCTCCCACGTTGCCCATGCCCATGCGTTCCCTCTTATTGCTATGTGCGGTCACTCGTCGTGTTCGTGTCATTTAAATAAAAGTACGTAACGTGCAGATTACAATATTGTGCGATAACGAAGCGAGTGACACGGTTTTCGAAAAGCGAATGTCGCCTGCATAAGTATTATCGTGATATCAATCGCAAGTACGATAAATTCGCGTAGTACTAATCGGACGAGGAAAGGTAGCATGCTACATAATCAGCGGAGGCTACCGAAAATCGAGCGTAGTTAATGAATGTTACGATTGACGGTATCGTAGTATCATTTTTCGATTTCATTGTTATATCCGAGATAAGAATTTAATTCCTATATACAAATCGCCGTGTGGGCAGGGAAGTTCATTGAAATTCCAAGTGATCGGACCCTGCGAGTGACAGTGTGATCCGTGGAAAATAAATATCGCGATAAAAATGACGTGGTGAGGAAGAGGACCGTACCGTTTTACAGAACCGTCGTAGGAATTGCAAAGTACATACACTTACATTGTTCTTTTGCAGTTTATGCTATTACGTTTCGTCACCGTTTTAAGTATCTCGCGTGAAGATTAGTTGTACCGTCAGCTACTTCCAATATAACTCTCGATACAAATCAGAATCATTATTTTGAGCTCGATACGCCGATTTCTACTCTTCTTACGCGATACGAAAAGATTTTCGTTGCGCGTTACGTATTGTCGAATTATTCTCGTCACACTGAGGGTTCTGCTTAATTAACGTTTCCTTTCGTTTTACAAATAATGAAACGCAGTATGGATGAGAGTACAAACTCCGAGAACATTTGGTGCCGAACGAAAGCCGACGAGCAAAATAGTTTGTATGCAGAATCTATAACATCGTCGATGGAAGGAAATTCTACTTCACTGGCAGATATATTTGATACAGCATTTACATCTACAGTTGACCCTACGCCTCAACCGAGATTTAATTCAGGTATGTATGAATACACTTTTGCTTCTTTCGTGTCTCTCATATGCCACGAATATTCCTAAGCAATTAGGTTTCTTACTCTAGGAAACGAGATGGAATTTGATCAGTTATTCGCTGAGAGCGATGTAGAAGATTCGGATGTAGTCCCTATCAATCCTTATGTAAACCCTCATCCCCCTCCAGATGTTACGTATGGAACTCCACATGAGTTTTATACAACGGGACGACTTTTACATAGCCATGAGCCTCCATTGAGACACAAAAGGAGGATATGTGGAGAACACATATCACTGAATGATAGACAATCCGATAATTTGGGTATAGCTGGACCATCTAGATTGCCAGATGCCATTTATAATAGGTACATATTTAATATAAAGCTAGCTAAGCAAACGAGCTGCGTTACGTTTGAAATAACTGTGTAATTTCGTTATTTACAGTGCAAATAGATTGATAACCAACATACAGACCATAGAAGATGGGAGTGTCAATGATCCGAATACTTTGTACCATTCGGTTTTGCCAAATACGATGAATTCGCAGCAGCATCCAGCTCACGCAATATCAAGTACGAATAATATTTTTTATACTGATGGTATGTGAATAGAAAGAATATGTGGCAGATGAGATGTGTAATCTCGTTTTTTTATTCAACAGAAAGTGACGATACACCATCTGCACCTGACTTGCAACTGGATTGGTGCTCGAGCAGCGATGATGCGACTAAAAGTGATGACGAGGATGGTTCGGTTGAAGTTCTTGGAACAGTAAGTCATAAGGTACAAAATATACTATTATTCAAAAACCTAGATTGAAATGATTTTTTGTGATTATTCGAGGTGTAATGAATCTATTTCAACAGCAGAATCGTATGGAAAATGACGAAGAACATAATCCTACAGTCACAATCGATTTGACTTTGGAGTCTGACGAGGAACATACTCCACCGACTCCGGCAGGTGCTACTTCGGTGATCAGACCTTGCCCTTGGACAGCGTTGCATAGGTATGCATAATGTACTTGTTTATATCATTCTTTAATGTACTTCCTTAATTTACTATAATTAAATTGTTATTTTTTCCTTTTTTCTAGCATGAATAACAATTATTGTCCACCGTACTGTATGCATCACAACTTCAGAATTCCAGTTCCTGTCGTACCTGTAGGATACAATCAAGTAGCAGGTATTTATTAAACTTCTTAGATACGATCTGAAAAAGTGAAAGGTTCACATTTTTATATATGTTTGTTTCTATTCTGTGCAGATGTTCCTGCAGGAATGACAAGACCGCGTATGCATCCGATGCAGGAAAGGCTGTGGACATTGCAGCAACGTGTACAAGAGGCGCGAAGGAGGCACCTTTATACAAGAATGCCGCCTCATCATGGGTCAGTATCATTCATATCTATGATAATGTTTTTAAGAATCTTTCAGTTTTAATTTACATAGGAATTTTTTCTGTTCAGCAGTGGAGCACCGTGCGCCCCGCATCCGCACCCGCACCCGCACCCGCACCCGCACCCGCACCCGCACCCACATCCACATCCACACCCACACCCACACCGACGCTCACATCCGCACTCGCATCCGCATCCACATTCGCATCCGCATCCACACTCGCAACCGCATCCACACTCGCATCCACACTCGCAGCCGCAGCCGCAGCCGCAGCCACAGCCGCAACCTCAACCGCAAACGCAACCGCAACCGCAACCGCATTTGCAACCGCAACCGCATCCGCAAGCGCTTCCACAGGTGCATCCACTACCGCAACCGCCTCCGCAACCGCTTCCACAGGTGCATCCACTACCGCACCTGGACCCGCACTCACAGCCGCACCCTGCGAATCAACAAATGTGCAACAACGGGAATGCAACTCCTCCGAGTAATCATTGCTATGGTTCTGAAAGCATAGACAATTATCTTATGCCGCTTTCAATGCCGATCTTGCCACCGCCGCAGCAGCCTACGGTCTACAGCCACCCGGAAACTGCTGGTCCACGAAACTTCAGTCCGCCGTGTCCTACTTACATGAATCAGCCTACCATGATGGTACGTATTAGTTTATCTACACAGATCTCTATGGTTCGGGTGCTCTAATATTGCTCTGAAAATTTAATATTTCGTTGACTTATTGGCTTTTCTTTATGTCTATAGGAAAATCCTATGGCCAATGTTGGGGAGGTTGAGCCAACGCCGCCAGTTACGTTGCCTTCGATGCCGGTGCATCCTTATATGAATCATACGTATCATCACTACGATTTCGCCGAAAATACGTTTTCGCCTATGACGCATGCACATCACATCCATATCAATTTGCTGCAGCATCTTCACTTGGTATGTTTTCAAATTTCGTCGATTAAAAGAAGTTTTTACACTGGTGTATAATGTCACTTTTTACAGCAGGAGCCAATCCTTAATACTGACATCGCGGACGATGCGTTGCCATACCCACAGTTAGTGCATCAGGTGCGCCATTTATCGCGGTTTGAACATTACATACACTTCGTGGATCAACGACGCATGGCTCATGTTAGTTCCGGGGCCACACAAGAATCGATTGAAAGCCACACATTCCGTCACAAGTACAAGAGGGTAAGTGTTTTGTTATACACCACAATACTGATAAATTGAAAAATTTGGAAGAAAATCTAGATTTTGTTGTAAATCTCAAGAACTCGCTATTTATTAAGAAGAATGAAATTTAACAAACCAATTAGTGAATTTAATGAGAACTTAACTGAAGAACATTGGATTCTTGTGATCTTTATCAAACCGAATTCTTCTTGAATTAAAATGTCTGCAGGAGTATAAATTTGACTGCATAGCCATTCTTGATAGCGTTCTACAAAATATTTGTTCGTGAATAATTTTTCCACTTTTTTACTTAATGCTAATTTATAAACATCGCAAATTTCGTGAAGGTTCTTATCAGTGTCTGTAGAGTACATACTGGTGTTTAACCGTCTCTTTACTTAAGTAAAATATTTTCCATCTTTTCAGACTTTCCGAATTGCAGACATCAAATCAGAATTTTTTACTTTCGATTTTGATTTTAGAAAAAAGTATAATCACTCATGGGAAATACATAAAGATTATTAATGTATTATTAAATTCCGAATTTTGTCTCACAGTTTCGCCGTTTACAATTAAAAAAGGAAAGTCCTGATATATCCTGTAATTGTTCTCTTCTTTTTATTGTTACAGAGGAAGAAGGTCGAAAATTCTGATGACGACATTGAGAAGTGTACCATATGTTTATCCGAGTTCGAAGACTGTGAGAGTGTTAGGTAAGAATCACATACTAATAATAATTATTTATTTATCGTCTTGCCTTTTAGCTTTGATGGACTTTCGTATACATAATTTCCTTATATCTACATACTTTTTGCTTAAATCGAAACCCTTTACATTCGTTTGCTCGCCACCCCTGATCTGTTATCCTCGCGATCATGATCTAGAAGCATTCCCATTGGACTTACAATTTCTTGCTTATCCCTTCGTTCATTCTCATCATTTTCGTTTATCGAATCTGTCTGGATGATATTTAAAAATATTCTGTTTTTCTTATTTGTCACAGGAGGCTTCCATGTATGCATTTATTCCACATAGACTGCGTCGATCAGTGGCTAGGCACCAACAAGCGATGTCCCATATGTCGAGTGGACATCGAAACACTTCTACTCAAGGAGATTGCCAGCTGTGGATAGTTCAAGGTCGACTTTATCTATTATCTAATTTCGTTTCTTTAAGTATAATACCGGATAATACCTATGTTTATATACTTGAGAAAAGATTCTATCGACGAGTAAATCCTAATCTCTGACAGTGCTATGAATCTTGGTGTAAAAACAAATTCTCTGTGAATAATCAAAATAATCGATAATGGAATAGAACTAAGTTCCTGAAGTGGTAGAGGAGATTTTTCATTTAATATTAACATCGTTGCATTGATGGCTATTAATAATAGTGTACATAAGAGTGTTAGGTTTGTCTATTACGTGTTATTATATTAATAATAAAACATATTTTGTCCGGTAACTTACCGCGGACGACAACAAATTGTTGTTAAATTCTATCGAGCATTCGAGCAATGCTATCTTTCCATGTAAGCTTTCGTTCTCTATTACGTATTCCGAGAAGTAACTATCTGATTAGATAATTATCAGCATCTTTTTTCTCAATAATCGACGATTTCGGTTTACTTTTGCCTAAGTAAACGGCAAGGAAATTCAAATTAGTTAATCATCGTACATATATTACTTTTGCGTTGTAGAAATTCCCTATTGATTTTTATATTTGCGTGTAGTTTACACGCTGAAATTTGCGGATTGCAGCATTTCTTTTTATAACCAATCAAATGGATTTTTCGAGGCTACTTAAAGCCTCGGTCAATTGTAAGATTTTAATGAATTATCCACGTATAATTTTTTTTTCTTTTTTTGAATAATATAATCAAATAATTTGAAAACATTTTAATCGTTTGTTTACTAATGCAGTAAGTTTTAGTATTAAAGTAATGAAATTTTGTAAGTAGGCTAAAAGCGTTCGTGAAAAGTTAACTCAAGTTGGAGAAATAAAAGGTCGTAATTAAAAAAGAAAAAGAAGGTATATAATATTATATATAGATGCAATGTAGGAAATTTCTAAAGAAAGATACTATACGATTATTAACTAAACAGGACGCGTACAACTAATACTGTGTGATATTACTGTATATTGTTATTGTACATATGATTAATATATATTGCATGCATACTACATTATGTATTTATGCAGTAACATCACACGGGATGCTTCTGGCGCATTAATAGCGTACAGTGGAATTTTTATAACTCCGAAAAGCATACTCGACCACCGATTAAATTCATTGCACTCGCGGTACAACTATTTTCACGTTGTATTTCAAGGGAGAAGAAACTAAGCATACTGTTTCCACTTGTTTTTATACAAACTAACAATAGATGCCTTTTCGATGCAAAGAAGAGCGGCTTTCATTTTTATACTGGTAGAAAGTCGATAATTTACAGCTCGTTATTAGCAGTAATTATCGTGTTCGACGTGACGATTTTCGAGATTTCAAGGGGGAGAGGAAAGTTGAAATTAATTTAAAAACGAGAGGGAGAGTTATGCGAATTTCTTTTGCCTAATTAGCGAATCTAAACCAAACGCAACGAGTTAACTACATTGATTATTCTAAAGTGCGTCTATCAGGAAATCGCTATACTGACCTTTACATCTGTATAGATTTTATTTGAAAAAAAAAAAAGATTGAGAGATATGAATACTTATCTCGCAATATCGACGATCTGAATCCTAACGTGTTTTCATTATAATTTGATTAATTGTTAGAAAATTGTTGCACTGCCATTATCGACAATGATTCAATGTAATTATTAGTAGGTTTTTCGATGATCTTTTCTATCGTATTTGCTGCTCTAGCATCTGATCGCGAGCGAATATTTCTAAAACATGTATTTTGCGTTACATACGTACGTATGCGGGTGCTATGTATTCGAATTCGTTCATCGTAGCGTCACGCAAGAGATATATAGGCGTTCGGATATTTTCTGAAAAGAACAATTGTATCGATATGTACATAATAAATCGGCGTTACAATGATTTTGAGTATACGTATATCATAAACGAGGATGAACAAAATTAGACGTGTTTGCGCCACGTTGACGGACTGGTTTCAAGGGGCACGTGCCTCTCACTGAAATTTAATGCGATTATTGAACGCTTGTACAATCAGGAGTAATTTTATAACCGATGAGAACGTCGACGAACACGTTATTGACGATGTTTAATGAAAATTGTAACTTCTGTCCATCAATAAAGGAAGCATAAAGAAATCCGATTAATTACACGTTCTCCTATACCCGGTAGCAACCTTCGTCTCCCCGAGTTCCGCGGACTTCCTTAATTCGTACCAATTAAACGAGCGAACCTCGATGGGAAAAAAATGATACTCTGACGTTAAATGGCTCGTCATCATACCGTCGAACGTCCGTCTGATCTCCTGGGAGAGTGCGAAAGAAATTAGCCGACCGCCAATGGCGAGGATGATAATTGACGCGATCCGCGGATCTGTTCAATGCCACTTGCGGAGCACTGAATTCTGCTTGCACGCGGCAAGGAGAGGGAGTACCTCTCGGTCGGCGGCTATATAGCCGGCTACAGGACTGATCGTTTCAGTTCTGAACACTTCACTCAGGATTTGTCCAGCTTTTTTTTATTCTCACCGCCGAGAATAAAAGCTTGGGACTAGCCTGATTCCGTTCTTCGATTCGAGTCCTTATCACGATATGACGGCGACAGATAGAATCCGCGTGATCCATTAGTGTTGCCGAGGAACATGCTTCGAGTGCTCGTACAGAAGTTCGAAATTGTAGCTGTGAACAAGCGCCAAAACGAATACGTCGTTATGTATTCGGGAACGTAACTGGTTGAATTCGTAATCGTTTTATTAACGCGACTCTGTAGATAGTTGGAGGGTGCGGCGATACGATTAATAAGGGTAGCGGGTTCTCTGATAAAATGCCACCGCAGGAGAAATTCGAGTCTCCCATGCACTTGAAGAACGGTCATGATGATAACGCGGCGACTCCGGGGAATTCGACGAGTGTTCAAGTACAGCCTGACAGAAATGTCAAGAAAGAGACCACGAGGGACATGGACTTCGACGAATTGTTACCCTACGTAGGGGAGTTCGGTGTTTATCAGAGAATTCTGTTCGTTTTGATGATCCCCTTCGCCTCGTTCGTAGCATGGGTGTACTTCTCGCAGATATTCATCACGTTGATACCGGACGAGTACTGGTGCTGGGCGCCGGACCTGGAGAACCTCACAGTGAGCGAAAGGTACGTGGAAAACTAGATTTCATCTCAACGTCAATTTTTATCAATCGTATTATCACTTCTATACTGACAGAGATTTATCTGATAACTTGAATCTAAGCTGAACGAGATTACATTTGCTCTAATTCAGGTATAGATTGTGTATTCCTGATAGAAAATACTATTCGTTATTTTTAAACAGTTCATCGTTTATCGATTTGATAAATCTTTATCGTGGTCAGATAAAAATCATAATTCTTGCTGATGAATGCACCATTCCATCACGTCTGGTTCAACATTCGCATCGTTTGTTGAACAAACAAGCGACCTCATAAAAGCAGATACACACGATTAAATTGAAGTTTACGAGCACACATGCGACTGGGAAGGTTTAGTGTCTCCTGGTACTAAATCCAACAGAATCGTTTATACAAAGTACGTTAATTAAAAATGTTCACCGATATCTCATGCCTGCATCGTGATTGCATTATCAGATAATATACAACGTTAGACATCAACGTTCAGATGCGGAATGCATCTTAGAGCATTCCTATTGTTTGCAAACGATAATTAGAGAACAATAACGACTCTGTCGTTTTCACGTAACGAACAACGGTGACTCATTTCACTATGTCGGGTGCATGAAATTGTTATTTTTGCATACATGAATTTTTTTTATACACAATCGTTGCTCGCGATGCTGATGAAAAATGCGATCGGATTGCATTCATTATCAGCTCAGTATTCTCGGTTGAATTGATTAAAAAAAATATTGCGACGAATAATTAATAGCGACGCATGATCTATTGATTTATATATTTTGGAAATATCTCCCTGAATATTCCAGTTAACGTTCTAATGAGGAGTCATTTTCTTCTTTAATGCGCTCACTTTCTATACAGGGTGGTTCGCCAGATACTATCTTGATTTTCGTCGTTATTATTATACGTAATAAACAATTTTTATAATCATTGTTGAACAGTTTCGAGAGAGGCACATTCTGGTGTTGCAAGCTATTGAAGACATACGAAGGTTAACATTTTTTTTAATTGGAATGCATAGTTCTTCCTGCACTGATAGATGAAGGTTGTATTCTTTACAAGAAAATATTAATATTGAAAAGACATTAATTCTTGTACGACAACTTCCCGTAATTTCAAATCATTTGCGTTTCTCCGATTATCAATGTAACAATCATTACTGCTCTATAACTACCCTTGTAGACCTTCGGCTCTTAGCCGTGTGAATAAATAAATAAATAAATAAATTAGTTAAAGGAGATATCTTGAATAGTATTATTGGATCATATTTTATCGCAGGGTCACTGACTGGACAAAAATATGCAGATTTTTTGACAAATAATGTGGCTGCAACAAATTGCTTGTCCTATACATTATGGAAATACAAGAGAAAATGTATTAAATGAAATATTTCCGAATCGTTGGATAGGACGAGGTTCCATTCCGACAAGATTGCCTGTTTAACATCCCTCGACTTCTACTTTTGAATCTACTTGGAAAGTAAAGTGTACTCTGAGACTTTGACTACTGGATATAAAAAATCGTATCATCACTGAACGTAATAATACATGAAAAGATTTATTACATAATGTAAAACAGTCATTATTTTCTGGATTCAGGAAACGTGATGGAAACGATTGCAACACTGAAGTTTTTCTGTGAACGAAATCATTACAACAGATTATTAAGCGACTTGTGATTTCGTAACAGTACTAAAATCCAGATATCTCATTAACTAATAGTTTTCCGATATACATAGGGTGACGCTTTTTTGTAGAAAGCTCATCGATCGGAGGAGGAAAAACTGTATAAAAAAATGTCTTCGCTAATAATAAAACGATAATGAATTAAAAAAATTGTTGATCACCTTCGTATCTCTACTAGACGTCCGCCTACAAAATGCCTCACATCTGAATGTGCCTCTTTCGAAGTGATTCAACATTAAATATAAACGTTCTCTGCTACATTTCTAAAAAATATTGAGAAAGAAAAAACCTCCTATAATTATAAATAAAAAATGAATATTTAATCTTTTTTTATTTAAATCATAACAGAGAAAATCGAGGAGATATCTGGTGAATCCCTCTGTATATTCGTTGTTGTATTATAAATCAAAATGAAATATTGAATCTTTTTTTATTTAAATAATATCAAAGAAAATCGAGGAGATAACATCTGGTGAACCACCCTGTATATCCGAGTGCCGTAACACTCGCTAACTGGCAAGGAAATTACGACATAACACTTTGTTCCTTTACAGTTAATAAGCTCGTAAACTCAATTCGTTCTCTGATTTCATCGACGTTAATCCATTTGAAAGTGACTAACTGCGAATCTATAACAAAATCGCAGCAAAGATACCGACGAATAAAAAACGATGACGAAAGGTCCGACGGGTTGCACCTCCGTTTGATTACGTGCCGCCGTGGGTTAACAACCTTCCTTGTTATTCGAATAACGCAATACTTATGCTCGCAGCAGCCAGTAGCAGTTCGTAAAAGTCTCAATAAAACGTTCCTATAGGTAGTGAACGCCTACTTCGTATCACGTTCCTTCTGCATCTCTAATCTACAGTTGCATAACGAAAGTCTGTCGCTATTCTATCTCATCGACACTCGGTACTGAACGGTACCGTATTTGCATAACGCGTTAATTTTTCTTACCCACAACGTCGCGTAGCACGTCGCGTCGCGACGCCCTCGTTAACACGTTCGAATGTCTCTAAATCAGTAATCAATTCTCCCGTCTTCGCAAATTGACGTTTCTTTTAAATAAAATCCTGTCTGGTTGAAGAGACGCAAATTTTTCTTTCTTCTCTTTTTAGGCAACGGTTTCCTCGTTGTTTCCGATGCGGTTACGCCATAATTTGTTATTAAATTGCGTTTCGAGAGTCATAGGATGTTTTGCAACGCACAATGCACTCTCGGGTGTAGAGTTCCCAGGCGCGTGTATTATCGTGTCCGCGACGTAAACGTGCGGCGAGCAAAACCTTCGTGCAAATAATGAGAGCGTGAACGCGAAAAATAACGTCGGGCACGTAACGCGTTTAATATCGTCGATCGCGTGGACAACGGCGTTACACGCTTTTACATAAATACATTTCACATTTAGAAGGACTGCGAGTTGGAAAGGATCTCCAGATAGGATTACTAATTTCGTTGCGCAATAAATAAATCCAACGGTCATTAAAAAGATTATTAGAATTGCTAATCCGTGACGGTCTTAATCTATTTTCAACACGGCTATGACTGTGGAAGATTTTCTTAATCATTTTTTCCGAACAAAAGGAAAAGGCATCGTTTTCTTCGCGACCATCTGCCTCTCTATAATTTTCACTTGGAGACCTTGTAACGGTGTTCCTGCGCGTAACACAATCGGCGTTCGTTCACTTCTCACGCAAAGGTCAGACAATGGATCTTAGCTAACAATCCTGACGCTGAGACATGCTATTAATACTGTAAATACGCATTTACGAGTATTACGGCTTCATTAGAGTCGAAAGAAAAGGTCTGAGACATTGTCTTCTACGATGATCGGTATCAGCCATTGTCAGTCATCTGATGACAGTCGTGACATCAATTTCGTATCTCCTCGAGAGCGCGCGTATAATTACCGCCGAGGAATTACCCGAACGATGTTCATTATTAGTAAATGATTTCGCCGTTCGAAGATCCGTCGTGAATCAGCCTCGCAATCGATCCACGTGACTGTATTAATTATACGCGGATCTTTGTTTCAGATTGAATTCAATGAATTTTCGCACGCATGCCGCGACGAATATCGCGATTACGATTTTGCGACTTAACTGGTATTAATGTTAACGAAGGGAATTTTTCTGTTTGATCTCAGACGCGCGCTGGCGATACCTGCCGGGTCGAGGTGCAGCATGTACGATGTAAATTACACGGAGGTCTTGTCGAACGGAAGCCACGCGCCGGACCCGTCGTGGCCGACGAAAGCCTGCCAACACGGATGGGAATTTAATTACAGCACGGTCCCTTACGCAACCGTAGCGACCGAGGTAGGTAGCGAAATCATTTTACAGCCACTTACCCTTCGCTCAATTACTTTTTCAAGTATCTAAATAAATTCTTAAACGAACTCGCACGTGTCAGTAAAGAAATTCTCAACTGGTTTTTCCTTCCCTTACTTTTGACGATTTGTAAAAGCCGCTTTTTATTTATTTCTCGATTTTTCTTTTTGTAAAACGCCACAAAAAGTCTTGACTTTCGCTTGAATTTTTATACTCTAGATACGTAAATCATTCGACTGCAGTTTTCTGTTACAGCTCGGGTGGGTCTGCGAGCAAGATGCTCTGCCCACCACGGCTCAAAGCATCTTTTTTATCGGCGCGATATTCGGGGGATTGATCTTCGGCTGGATCGCCGATCAATACGGCAGGATACCGGCGCTAATCGGCGCTAACATGATGGGGTTAGTAGCCGGAGTGGCTACCGCTTTCACTAACACCTTCTGGCAGTTCGCGCTCTGCCGTTTCTTTTTCGGTTTCGCCTTCGACAATTGCTTCACCATGATGTACATATTAGGTAATTCATTTTTGTCATTCCTCAGCCTATAGAGAGCCAGCCGGTCGGTGATTGACAGTTTGTCTCAGATGTGAGAAACGAGACCAACGAAACTCTGGCGCGCATTAACCGTGACTCGATGACTCAAATCGAGGTTGAAAAGATTTACGACGTTGAAAACTAGGCCAAGTTGACGGAATTCGCTTAGCTCACCGGATTTCCTAATCGCCGAGGCTTCCGACGGACTCGCGAGCCGCCGTCTTGGCACGAGTCGTCGGTAGATGGAAAGAAAGGCGAGACCTGAGCGAAAGCGAAACGCCGATTGGAAACCAGATAACCGTTATTAATCAGAGTACGCGGAAAATTATGCAATCGGGATCGTTGGTTTGCAAACCAGTTGGCCGTTCGAGCGAATTCGCGCGGAAGGAATGCGGTGTCTTTGACTAGTAGCGACCGTTGCGTTCGGACAAATGAAAATTCACACGTGGTAGCGTGAAATTACAGTTGGCCGTATTAGTGATAATCATTTCGTCAATGCATCGCGCGTGCAGAACGCAAGGTCGTTTCGGAACTGATTAACGCTCGCTTTTCATTTTCCTCTTTTTCAACCGGTTACATACGCGAGCCTTCTGCACAGTATTATCTGCGGACTGAGTGAAACATTGTCATAATGACATGCTCGGATAGCATAACGAATAGCCCGAGCAGTAAATCATAGGCGAAAGAAAGGGTTGTATTATCGATGTTGGAATGCTGATTGGAAATCCATTAGTTTTTTTAATTAAAAGCATTCACTTTACGTGAGTTACGACAGGCCTATGACACTCGTTCATCGATTAGTCTCAATACATGCATTTAAGATTGTATGAGCCGTAAGATCTCTGGCAAAAGTTTAAGACATGTAATAAAAAGCTGTTTTCAATATTTGAAGTAATGAACTTTTAGAAAAAATTATAATTACAGAGGAGTAAGGTTT